GCTTTGTAACACGTTTCGGAAAATATTAAACACATTTTAAACAGATGTTTTCGTGTCTTATTTCATTTAACATATTGTATACAGCGCCATTTTTTTCCCCCTGGTGGTGAGTTTTTGAACTCTCTTTTTTTTTTTTTTTTTTTCCCCCCCTCGGAAAATAAATTTCCATAACCTCCTTTACACGATTCCCAAGTTTGATAACATTTGGTCCGGTAGTTTTCCTTTTTATGACCATTTCAAATTGGAACTTTAATTATAACCACCATGTAAATTAAACTTTAAAAATTTGACAGTTTGGTTCAAGTCCCAGCTTTAAAAAATATATATATAAATATAATCTTTTATATTAATCCTCTTAGAAAGAATGTTTTAAGAAGCTAATTTTTCTCTCGCGTTATAGATTGTATAAAAAAACATGATCTTTAATATGATTTAGATTGTTTCAGCCGATATAAGAATCGGGTTACTCGGTGGTACAGAATAAACCCTGCTGGACTGTTTTATTTCTTTGTCATTTAGCAAAAATCTTTTAATTAAAATATTTATCCTTTGGACTTCGCTTTAAACTTTATTTATAGTTAAAATGACTAGAAAATGAAAAGCTGTCTTCAGCTGAAACGCAATTCATGTAATTGATATTTTAAAAAATTGACAAGAATGCAAAATTTATGGAAGTCTAGCAATCGAAAAATCTTAATTTTCTTGTGTGAGCACTGAAAATAACTGTAGAAGGAAAGAAGAAAATTAGGGAGAAAAGTAAGCAAAAATTTGCAGGGAAATTTGGCTGTCAGACATACCAAGATGTTTCAAAAAGTTGGACGCTTTTGAATATACTTTCAGGATACTTCAAAGAATTTAGGTGTTCAAAGAGAAAACACTTGGACGTGTACACCAGCAAATACCATCAATTGAGCTTGTGGTTAACAGAAAAGACAAAAACGATATCATTGCAGATTAAAGTGAAGAGCGACTGGTTTTAGACTATATGGTTGTATAAATTTAAATTACGTCAAATTTTATTTTATAGAACATCATATCGTATCATAAATGGAGAATCCCATGATTTTCTCAGTCGAATTATTTGAAGATTCAGGAGTTTATCCAGTGATGTATGTGGATGTCACCTAAAGATGTTTTTTTTTTCCCTCCTGATGAAACAGCGGCCGAGCGGTAAAGTCGCTGAACACTGGTAGTTCGGTCCGAGGTTCGAATCCCGCGAACGGGCTGGCTGCATGGGCGTTTTCGTGGTTTTCCCCATGTGTAACGTGTATGCGAGCCAGTTTTCCTTAGAAAGTCCTCCACGAAGGCATCCCTCCCCTTAGGCAGATAGCCCTAGTGTGCTTTGTCATAATTAAATAAACCAAAACCTCTTGATGAAACCAGTCTTTCCTTTCATCTCATACCTTTAAAATGTTTAGCCTCTAAAGACTGATAAAGGCTCTGACCAAATATTGATGAAATGGATTGAATTGGATTATTAAGTTATGTCAAAGCAGGGGTATCTGCCTAAAAGAAGGATGCCTTTGTGAAGAACTTTTTAATGGAAACCAGCTGGCATACACGGTACACATAAGAAAATCCACGAAAACGCCCATGCAACCAGCCCGTTTACCGGGATTCGAACCCCGGAGTGAACTACCAGTGTTCAGCGACTTTACCGCTCGGCCGTTTGTGGGCCTTTATGAAATGGAAGGCGATAACTTTATTTAAAATGATTGTCAGAAATATCAAGATATTTCGAAAAAGTTGGATACTTTTTAATATACTTGCGGAATGCCTAAAGAAAAGAGCAAGAATAAAGTAGAATGCCTGAAAAGAAAAAGAGAAGAAAAATAAATTTTTTCGTAAAATTTAGTATTCGTATTTTTTTAATTTAAAACTTTTAATCTTATGATATTTGATTCTTGCGATTTCAAAAATAAATATTTGACTAAAATATGAATAACATTTTAAGAAGCCAAATGTAGGATAAAATTGTGTAAAGCAATATGGCAATATGTAGGATAAAATTGTGTAAAGCAATATGTAATATGGGCACAATGACAAAACTGTTTAAAGCAGTGTATGCAAGTCATCCTAAGTTAAAATGTCGCAATCCTAAGTTAAATGTCTTTCTTATTTATATATATATCTTTTCTGAACGGAACATTGAAAGGCGTGTTAACTGTGCTTTACTGTATTTTCTCTTTTAATATATGCAGTTTTCAAACGCATCGTAGTCTGGGTTACAAAGTATTCTTCCGAAAGAAACGCAATTCAAATAAATAAAATCAAATTCTGGAAAATTTATATTAATAAATATATTAAAAGTGCTCAATTCGAAGGAATAAATAGAAAATTTTAAAACAATTATCTGAAGAGACAATGCAACACAAACAATTAAAATAAAAGTATAAGAATTTAAAAATTACCTAAAATAATAACTATGACAAAAATATATATAAAGAAAACTATTTGAAAAAAAAAATAAACGCTGCACCTTTATTTAGCAGTTCGAATAGGTAAATAGAAAATTTTAAAACAGTTATTCGAAAAAAAACCATGCAACTTAAACAATTAAAATGAAATTTGAAAAAGAAAAAATTACTTAAAATAATAAGTTTTAATTAAAAAATATAAAGATATTATTTGGAAAAAAGGAACGATGGTGACTTTTTTTCCTCTCACGGGAAAGGAAACTAGGTTGCCATATATTAAGAAGTTCGCCAAGTGAACTATTCTTGGCGCAAACTGACAAAAAAGTGCCAACATAAATTTGTGAATTTCTCCGTAAATTTCGCTCCAAAATTTACAAAATTTCATATTTAGGCGTAATTTGAGTCGTAGAATCCAAATATGTAAAAAAATTGGCATGTTATTTCAGAAAAAGTCCGATTTTGTGTCAAAATACCTATGTTAGAATAGTGCTATATATAAATCTAATATATATCCTATGTCGCGCTTTCGAGACATGAAGAACGCAATTTGAATTTTGTCAATCGGCCCAGTAGATCGGGAGATATAGGACTGTCCCTTTTTTTTTTTTTTTTTTTTTTTTTTTTTTTTTTTTTTTGAGCAGTGTACATTTCTTCCTGAAAAACTCTATTTGTATGCGGGCGTTTTCAGCAGTTTTAAGTTACTGAACTAATCGTATTTTAACTCAAAGCATTTTGTTGCAAATATTTTCGTTTATTTACATGCAAAATGTGATTTTTTATCCGAAATATTAATTAACCTTTGTAATATCCAAAATATGTTTCTTTAAATATGAAATTAATTAGTAGCAGGAATTTAATAACGTGCAAAAAGCGGAATGTGTTATGTATCTTCTGGCTGCTGTTTTCTTTTCACACGGCTGAAAAATGTTTAGAAATTGTATTGTATAAGTAACAGTGTGTAATTTGAGAAAAGAATAATATTATGAATATGTATTTACATGCTTAATAATAAAGCTAAAAAGACAAAAAATATGGGTTAGTAGGAGTGAGTGTTACAGAAGACTGGTAGACTGCGAACTCAGTGAGAGCGTGAAAAACCTTAACGAACCCTTTTGGGCGACCGTTAAAATTTGAAACATTTCAATTTTTTTTGTCTATGTGTAGTATTATTTGCTATTTTTATTCATTTATGTGTTTATTTGATGTATTTTATGTAATAATTGTAGAGTGTGGGTTTGTTTACTCTAATTTATGTCCACTTATTGCAAATGCTTGTTTTACGCAGAAGCGGCAATCCTGAACTTTGGACACTTAAATTGTGGCCACATTGAAGACATTTAGCGAATTTTAGTCAGTCTGGCGCCATTTTCCAAGTTTTCGGAAAAAATCCTAGCACAGGTTTTTCCCGAAGCTTCCTGAAGTCTGAGCAGCAGTACATATGCCGCTGCTAATGAGCCACAAAAGTTAAAACAAAATTAGATGGGTAGTAGTGGGTTCAAAATAGTGGGATTTCCTTAGGTAATTACTATCTTAGAGTTTACAATGGCAGTAATCATTTAACTGCTACAGAGTTCTCTGGGAGTGATACTGAGATCTGCAATATTTTTCACGTTTTAAGGAAAATGTACCTTAATCTATCTATATCTTTATCTATCTATCTATATTTTTCCACTGGCGGACACTTACTGATTCAGCATTGATCATTCCTAATGCCAGACGTGGTGGCCATTGTATTGTAGAGGCAACTAAATAGGCGGCCACCGTTGCCTCCTGTGAAGGGACGGGCAGTTACAAATATGCCTTCTCCGGTATTCGGACCCGAGGCCTTTGATATTGTTGTAGGCTTCTCTAACTACTATACTGTCAAGGACGCTTTATCTATATTGTTTTTCGTGAGCTGTTTACAGTTATTCACTTTTATGGGAGCTGTTATTTATCTTAGTCAAGTGTCTTCCTGCTATGTTCTTGCTATGTTAATTTTATTAATGTATAAAATTTATGCAGCAGATGCAGTGTGTGTATGCATACAATTATTGTATTGTAAATTACAATTATTGTAAAATGTTTAAATATCAGTTTAAAATGCTAAAATTTCAATATACAGCACCAACAAAAGTTTCCTATTAAGCTCTTGACGCCGAGCTTCTAGGGCTCCAAAGAATTATCCAGTTGTACAGCTGCGTATTCCGGAAGATACCTGAATAGTCCTAGTAAGGACTGAATAGTCCTTACTAGGATCTGAATAGTCCTAGTAATATACCTGAATAGTCCTAGTCCAGACACCCGGCTCTCACCTGTCATCTGGTATGTTCCTGCTCATGTACCGTAATTAGTGTAAAAATACTCTACGAATCGTAGCCCACAGTAATATATAAAAAAGCTTTGAGCTTTGTAAATTACTTGTTTTTCGGTTTGGTCAAAAAGTACATTTCACACTCTGATACTCTGTTTCTCAATGCACATTATTTAAAAATTTTTTATAGCCAAGCCTAAGTTGAATCTTTTATTTATTTACCGGTTATTCATTTAGCGTATTAAAACATGTTACATAAAAATGGAAAAATTTATTCAAAATATTTTTACCATAATTCCGCCCAGAATGTCTAGCTATTTTAATTCTTCCTCTAGACTCGACGTTTTCTTCGCCGGCATAATTGATCATATAGCATCTTCCAAATGATGGACTGTATAACGTTGTCACATCTTTCCTAAAGAACAAGAGACATTACGAGACCATCATTATTATGGCATACAGCGTTAATGGTAATTTATACATTACGTGGCAATTCTTTCTTATCCTATGCTTGCATATTTTAAAAACGTAGTGATGTAAATAATTTTAAATACTTAGTTTTAAACCTAATAAACAAATAAATATTAAAATTTATTTCAACATATATGAAAAGAGATAATCAAAACAAATTTCTATTAAGAAATAGTGAATAAATTTTCTTCTAAACTTTTACTACAAGTAGCGGTCAGATTACACCGAAAGCAATTACCCAAAATGTTCATGCTTGTCTGACGGCTTTTCCAAAAATGTTAATTGAGGGTCATTCATTAATCAATAGTAACCAGAATTTATTCTTCTTCAAAATTTATGAGTATCTCTGCTGCTATCAAAATTTTAGAATATCCGCCGGCGACTTAACTTTCCTTAGTCTTTTTATCAAGATGATTTCTCTCATGATAACCCTGAAATTCATAGTTGGTTGCATGTTTCTATCATCTTGAGTTACTTCTGATGTATATTACTATATCTAACTATATATTTCCTAAGTATATCCCTATATTTCCTTTGGATCTGTCTGATAACGAGTTTTTCTTCAGAATATTTTGACAGCAAGGGAAAATTTTCGTCTGTCATTAGAATCTGTTTTTCTGTTTGCTTCTCTTTTCCTCGGGGTTTTGGAACGTTCTTGATGTAGTCGGAACATCCCCTATAACTGCTTGCATGGGGTCCTCAGCAGTAAAGACAAGTAGGATTTTATTCTTTCTTTAAAGGGCATTCAGCACTTCTGTGGTTAAGGCTTTGTTTCACAAATTTTGTAGAAATAAACACAGATGCTGTGTGCGACCAAACTTCTGGCATTTATAGCATTGAATTGGTCCATTTTCCTTCCGTTTGAATTCCTCTATTCTTACATTAATACCTAGAATGTTGAGCTCTTTACTTTGTTATGAGCTGTTATATATTTCAGTGAAATGTTCATTTCTTTCTGCTAACGGTGTCATTATTAAAAACATCTCCACGGATCAATTCATGGTGCATAAAAATATTATGCACCATGAATTTACGAGTATATTTAAATACTATGAAATAAATATATTTCGCGTGAAACAAAATTTATTTTCTTCACTTCTTTCAAATAAATAAATAAAAATGGAAAGAAAGAAAATCTAAAATCATTCAGATTTCAATTGCGGTATTGAAATCATTCAGATTTCAATACCGCATCAGAAAATAAAATTTTATATGCTTTCGCTGATGTAGACAGATGATTTCGCTGATGCTGATATATCGCTAGACCAGATTGCTTTGATTGCTTGATAGCACAAGAGTTACTTTCTTTATCCTAATGACACATACAATTCAATAGCAAAATAATAAGATTTTTAAAAGCAGGATACGTTTAGATTTCCCATTGGTGTTAAGTTCTGACGGTGTTAAATTTTCTATTTTTTCAGTCTTTTCTGAATTCATCATTATTAATTTTCAGTTTTCTTGGTAAAATGATCCTCAAGTCTTTGTTTTCTTTTTGACTTTTTATTGTTAACGTTTTATGTGTTTAACTTCATTTAATAGCCTTCCCGCTTACTCCACATAACATTTAACAACAAAATCATAAAATATTTAAAAACAGCATATCTTTAGAATTCCTGATACACTTTTAAGAATTACCATATTTTTTTGTATATTCCCTATGTTATTTATTTAAAAACCAGCAACTGGCTTAAAATGCTTATTATAAAGAAAAGTATATTAGAATTTTTAAGAAAACTAATGTAATTTCATAAAAATACTTTATATTTCTTATTATGTCAGGATTTTCATGCATTTTTATTTAAATCAATAATTATTAACAAGTAGACAAGAACTAAGTTTATTACTTTTAAATCGCTTAGTTTGCTGCTCAGTAAGTTTAAAGATTAAATCTGAAAATTAAGTATCCAAGGTTTTACTGAATGGCAGCAAGTTGGGCGTGAAAGCTCAAGAACTCAAGGTAGTTTATCTTTAGCAGTGGCAATACATTGCTTTTAACTAGCCAAATTTTGTTGATTAAAATTGAAAACTAGATATCTTAAATTTTACCGAATGGCAACAATATGGCTCGCTAAAGTTAAAAATGTTTTATTTCGAACAGTGTTGCAGCTTCTCGCTTTCAAATCGCTGAATTTTTTAATCAAAAATTCATTAAATTTGTTCCAAAAAAATAATAAACTGATGTGTACACCCCATGACTTCCTTGCACGGAATATTAAATTATACTAATTTTTTCTTGCATTTCATTTAAACTTATCGGATTTAATTAAATCTACATCGTCAATAGCGCATAAAACACAATAGAATAAATGCACTTTTTAAAATTCACTATATTTGTTTGCCGTAGTGACACTCTGGCGCTAGGTTCATTTAACAGCATTACATTTCGTCCATATTATAACTCAGAATACATATAAATTTATATCATTTGAAGAATTATCTAATCGTTGCCACATGTTCTATTCAAATACTATAATAAATCTGAAACGATGTCTAAAAGAAATTAAGCAAACAAAACAAAAAAGAAACAGTTTTTCGGAGACAATTCAGTATTTCTCATTCAATTAATTCAGTTCTCACTACCCAACAAGGCAAAAATACATAAAAACTCAAAATATCTATATTAAAAATTACGAAATAAATCTGAAACACTGATTTCCTCGAAAAAATTCCAGAAAGAATTAAGCATGATTTAATTCGCAATAATAAATGAAGGCGTTATCTATGTTGTTGCGAAGTTTCTCTAGATTGGCAACAAATCCACTATTCTGCTGTTTCAAATGTAAACAAGCAATGGCCGCCATCAAAAACATTATTAGGCTTAATGGCACTTAAACAACTTTAAAATTGTTGATAATTCTAAAAACATTGCATACAGTTTTACTAAAGGCATAAAAACCTTAACCGGAAGATAAGAACAACATAATTCAATCCTTTTTAAAGCAAAAACATGTACAATTTACAATCATATAAGAGTAAAGAAACTGAGCTTACTGAGCCGAGTAACAGAGTGGATATACATATACATATATTTATATACTTTTTGGTGCAGCCGATTGTAACCAAAATACGAGGTGCAAATCTACATGTTATATATAGCAGTCCTACGTACAAAATTTCAACGTTCTGAGGCTACTCGTTTTTGAGTTACGCGAGATACGTACATACATACGTACGTACGCACAGACGCCACGAAAAATTCTCTTCATAATTCATTTTAAATCAGTTTTCTAATTTTTTTTGGGGGGAAGAGAGTCCTTTATTCTCTCCTTATTTGCGGATGTCACTCAAAAATATCATCAAATTGCATTGGCTAGCGGTCAAAATCGATATTTTCGTTGAAATATGATACCCAAAATTTTCGCGATTACGATACTTCCTTTTTAATTCGTACAAGGAATTAAAAAACAAATTCGAAATTCAAAGTTTAGGCTTCGACGTATACATGTTCGGTTGGAGGACTGTGTGCATTAAAAATTTGGTGGCTTTTTATCATCTCTCCACAGTGTGAAGAACATAAATGTAGCTCCTTCATTATTTAATTTTTTAATAATATATGTCGATAATATTTGATGACAATAATTTGAAAAGTAAATCCGACACAAATTTGGTACAGAAAAAATGTCTGCATCAAATTTGTGTCGGATTTACTTTTCAAATGGGTTTCGAGATTACTATAGCCCGCGCTTAATCATGTCAAACACATTCTTAAAATTCTTAGAAGACTTTCTCACCTGATATCACATTTTACCGGACCGTAGCTGCAGGAGAGAATAAGACTGTCAAATGAGATGCCGTAATTATCGAGTACCGTTGCATTAGGAGTTATAAAACGTTGCACCTTGGATATATCACCTCTGAGATCTGATTTTATTCCTTTAATCAAAATCTCTACTTCTCGGGATATATTAGCTGCGAAGTATTCTGAGAAGTCCGTTTCTTGATAAGTTGCTGGAAAATAAAACATACAAAATTTTTGAAACGTAAATTCTCTCTAACAATAAATTAATTTTCATTAATGTTTGCTATGAAAAATAACGAACCTAGTATAAAAACGTCATCCTAAAAAAATTTTGCAAAACTTTCAATTAGCAATTGGTACGCCAGTTAATTCTGAAATGATTATAATTAGCTCTCATATGCCATACTGATTGTTTATTCTCATCTGACTGATATGTAACTGTAAGTTCTTTAAAAGCAGATTTCAAGAATTTTATTAAATTCCTGGAGAAGTAAGCCTTCCTCAGAATTCAGACTTCCTAATCCTGAATTTTTTTTTAATTACTTTCCATCTGAAATTACTTCTGTAATTAGAGAATTCAAACTTCCTAATCCTGAAATTTTTAAAATTACTTTCCTTCTGAAATTATAATTCAATCATTTTTAAAGCAAAAAATGCACAATTTACAAACATATAAGAATAAAGAAACTGAGCTCACTGAGCCGAGTAACAGAGTGGATATACATGTAATAATAAAATTCCATAGTCAAGAATACACTTAAAATTCTAACTGTATGTTCTTTTCATTTTTAATGGCGGCGTTCTCTTATTTGAAAGTACGTGGAATTAAATCTACAGCCCCGTAGTCAAGTTGTTTTTCCCGTCTTTTCTACACGTACAGTTATAGAATGTTCTCGAAATATTTAAAGCGAACTGGATTGGCTGACGAGGCTGACGTCATTTTCTTGGAAGCTCCGCCTTTCCAGAGGCTATAAAAAGACTCGCAAAAGGAATATCGGGGCTTTTCTTTAATGCAACGATGCAATAAACTTCATACAAAAACTTATTAGTAATTCTTTTTTATTTACTCCGGATATCTGATTTTGTAACTGCTATTTCTCCTGAATAATATAATAAATGGATCCTGTTTTTTAAACTTATCGTCCGATAATTTAAGCTACGACTACATTTATGATTCTTCAGCAATCTATTTATTCCTGACAAAAGCTGGTACATCACATACATATACATATATTTATATACTTTTTGGTGTGACCGATTGTACCAAAATACGAGGTGCACATCTACATGTTATATATAGCAGTCCTACATACGAAATTTCAACGTTCTGAGGCTACTCGTTTTTGAGTTATGCGAGATACGTACATACATACGTACGTACGCGGAGACGCCACGAAAAATTCTCTTCAGAATTCAGTGATGTATAAATGTTTACACAAATTTAATATAAAGTAGACAGTGTGCTTAAAACGTTTCAGGACTAATTCATTTTTTAACAAATTCTTGCAAACTTGCCAAACAACAATTGACACCATTTATTACTAAGAGATTCCAACTTGCTTTTCCTAAAATATCGTCTATTTATGGATAGAATTTTCTATGGGATTAATTATTTGCTTTGATCCAGTGAATATATGTTGTCATGGATTCGAAAGAAGCTGAGCAAAGAATAGCAATTAAGCTTTACTATATAGCGGAAATTAAGCCTGATTTTTTTTCAAACATTTTGTGATCGGATATGATACTTAGTGCTTTGCCAAGGCTGCAGAAACTTCGATTTAAGAAATATCACTTAAGTTCATGTTAGTCACATTTCTTGATTTTTTTAAAATCATTCATAAAGTAATTTTTCACAAGAAAAGGATAGATGGTGAGTTGTATTTTGCAAAAACGTAATACACGTATTACTGTAGAGAATCCACGCACCAGCGGCTAAGGGGTAAAACGATCCCCATGTGCATTGTGTATATGAGCCAGTTTCCCTTATAAAATTCTCCTCGAATGCACCTGTTCCTTTAGATAGATAGCCCTTGAGTGCTTTGCCATAGTCAAATAAACCAAAGGAATATGAAGCGAATCCAAATGCGTTAGGCCTAGAAATGCTCACTTTTAAACTAACTTCGACTGCAGAGGAAAGCGCCTTTCTACAACTCCATTTTTGTCGACCAGTTTCCGGTAAGAAAAGGTTTCACATTTCTTAGTCCTCCACTTTTATATCACCAAGTTTAGCTTTTGAAGACTATTTTCTCATCAATAAAGTATCACAACATTCAGATCACAGCAAATGTTACAGATCAATACATAGAAAAGGTTTTTCCTCATAAGTCATTACTCTATAATTTTGGAGAGATTCAGAAAACCACAACAAGAGACTTGAAAATATTCTAAAATATTAGTTCTGCAAAGGTGATCAAACAGCTGTATGAATGTGCTAAGCTCGTACAGACTTAGCTTAGACTGCACCTTAAAGGCTTAGAAATATATGTGTTTTTTCCTTCAAATTTTTATTTTGTACTTTGTCCTAAATGCTTACGCGCATTGTATATACAATACAAACATATTTCAAAATGGTTGAAAAACTTTTCATATTTGAATTCTTTGGATTGCTTAGCTAAAACTTGGCAAATCACAGCTAGAGGGCTCTCGTCCGTTAAAGTATCCATTTTATATGATTTCTTATTTTCCTCATTAAAGGACTCTTAATTAATCTAGAAATATTTACAGACACAGAAATACAAAACAAGGAGAGCAAAAACTTTTTATGTTAATTCAGTAATACCGAGTGTTTCAAAATGAAGGACTCGATTTCAAATAATTATTTTAAGAGTAAAAATATGTTACAGTTACGGAAGGAATTGCTTATTATTATTTAAGTTCTCGGGTTTCACTCACTATAATTATAAATGCTCTGTTTATCCTCCACCTCAGCTTGGAGAGTATAACTACAATTGACGAATTCCTCTCAAAAGCATTTCAGCGTGTCTTCTGCAGAAATTACTGCAACTATGATTCTGTTTCTGAGATTAAGGGTAACAGTTAATGGGGAAACGAACATGTCCTTTTCCATATAATTTCAGAAGCAAATTTAAGGCTATGTAATGCCTGGAGATCTTTGGGGGCCAAGTGAATAGTGCTACATTTTTGGGTCCCATGCATCTTATCTAAAGTGAGACAATTTTCATTTGGAAACTCTAGGTTACATTCTTTCAAATAATACGAATTTCATTTATTAACTGTGGGATTGCACAGACAAAAAATTTCAGTCTTTCTTATCTGGTATCCTGTAGAATCGCAATAATATGTACTATGATTCATACAGCTTTCCAAAGTTTGTAGTGTAATAACTATACCAGACAGCAAAATGTTACAGATTAATACATAGAAAAATCTCTTCCAAGTTTGCACTTACCATAAACCCTAACACTTATTCACCCAAACTGTTGATCTAGCTGTTATGGGCTACTTTTTGCTTTGCGATACGAACTATTACAGGTACAGTGTATCTTGATATGCTGCAAAAAAAAAAAAAAAAAAAAAAAAAAAAAAAAAAAAAAAAAAGAGCTTTTTTGTTTTCGATAAGGTTAAGCTCCCCACATTTTCACGAGGGGTTCGAGTTTAGCTCATTGCTCAATTTTCTTGTCGTTTAACTAGATGTGGTTCTCAATATAACTCCACTCTTCTTCCATAGCTTACATACTTACCTAACATAAAGACACGTTATTTTTAGGGACCACATATACAGTTACTGATTTCGAAAATGATATGTTGGCATGTGTGTGGCACTAATTTGAATTTAGAATTAATATCTGCCACTTGAATAGAAATGCGTATGTGAAGCAGCTATAAGTGCATTGAAAATTCTTTTTTATATTAATATAAACCTTGTTGCTCTATAGTTAATCTGCTGTAAACTTCCTTATAATCGAGGGAAACGGGAATCGTTGTACAAAGAGGATGGGAAAAGAAAATCGGTTGTTTCATGAATGCCTGACAAAAATATAAAACCTTCAAACATTATGACTCAAAATTATAAGCAAATAAATTAAACATAATAAGAAGTGTTGTTCAAAATGAAAAAGCCTTCTAAAATATAATTATAAATGAGGTTCATTGCTACTAATTTCATAGCTTAAAAGCTTTCTTTGAATTAGAGAATATGTTTACTTTATTGTAAAACTTATTTATCTTCGAACTAAGCTATTAGAAATTGAATATTTCTACGTTGGTAAAGAAGTGCAAGTTCGAAAATGAACTTACATTTGTTGAGGTAAAATGGATATTCAAAATCCTTGTTGCAAACGCAAAACTTCTCATCTCCATTCTGAATGTTGTGGCAAGCATCTGGGCCGCGAGTTTCGTTCCACAGGCAAAAAATGTTGGAGCAAGCACAGTATGATTTGGAGTGAGAATAGCAAAGCATAGTTTCGCAAGGGTTTTTCACACAGTAGCATACGTCCCGGAATTTGGCCCACCAACAAAGAGGATCCCTTAAGCATTCTTCTCTCGCAACCCGAGATACACTGAAAGAAATACAACCGATTACAGATTTCCAATGCACATGCAGGACAGAAACATCCTATTATATACGTTAAATTTAATATGTTATTAGAGTATTAGGAATCGAATCCTGTTGTGCCGAAAAAGCTGTTATAATATGTAAGAACACTAACACAAAGAAAACCTATTCGGTTTGAGCATGAAAATAAAGCTCATTAATTTCAGAAACAATAAAGTAAATTAAAACAATTCGAAGCACCAAGAAGGACGTTTGCGATCATGACGAAATTCGGTATGCAAAAACATCTTGATCGAACATACAAATGATCAAAATCTTAAGCAGATGAACAGGAATTGCGATCACAGCGCGCAATTCTAGTGCTCAATTCGCAAAGTATGAAACCAGTAACAGAGGCGGAAAATTTATCTTTTTTTGTTGCTGCCATTGTAATTCCGTAAAGAAGCAACTAAAGATGCCATTATGACGATATCGAAGACCTTACAGACAACTAAACGACTTCGAACGTGGTCGCATTGTAGGGTTACGTGAAGCTGGGTGGTCATACCGAGCAATAGGCCACCACCTGCAGCGTACAGACACTACCATGTTGGCAGCAATGGTTGCTACAAGGAAACTGCCGACGAAATGAAGGCTCTGGAAGGCCATGGAGCACAAATGCGAGGCAAAATAGGATGATTGTTCGCCAGGCCCGAACCGCTCCAACGGTATCATTGTCAACTATTTAATGCCCTACAGCCCCGAGCATGCCTCCCGTGGTACCGTGCACCATCTTACGGCACTTGTCTTAGGCGGGATTACGCTCACAGAGGCCTTTAAGACGTTTGATTTGACCCCAGAACATCGACGGGTTTGTCTGGAGTGGTGTCGCAACCGAGCCTCATGGCTGCCATCATATTGGCATCTTGTAGTGTTCAGCGATGAATCCCGCTTCACTCTTGAAGCAGATGATCACTGTGTTCGTGTCTGGAAAGGATTAAGCCAGTGGTCCCAATAAGCCTTTGTTTACAAAGGCATGTAGCCATAACTCCTGGTGTGATGGTATGGGGCACTATTTTTTAATACAGCGGGTCATCTTTAATCATCCTCCGTACATCTTTAAAATCTCAATAATATGTTGATTCCATCGTGCGGTTGGTTGCATTACCCTTCATGGCAAGTCATCTTGGGGCCATTTTCCAACAAGATAATGCCAGGTCACATACTGTTCACATATCTCTGGACTGTCTCCGTACGGTCCTTCTTGGCCAGCAAGGTCACCTGACCTTTCCCCAATCGAGCATGTTTGGGACATGGTAGGCTGCCATATTCGAGCACCGCAAAATATCGCAGATCTGGAGCGACAACTGATGAATGGCTGGAAGAATGTGTCGCAGGATGACCTTAGGAATCTCTACCACTCCTTGCTTCGACGAATTCAAGCATGCATTGCCGCCAGAGGCGGTTTGACCAGCTACTAATTTGAACAATTAATGGGTGATTGTGAGCCGTGAAAAGGTACTATGACCTTGATTTTTTAATAATTTTATTATCTGTATATAAGCTATACACATATTCAATTTCATCACAAACAACCGTTTCCTTCATGGTGCTTCGATTTCTTTTTGCAAAAGAGTGCATTAAGATTAGTGTTTAAAACACTTATATATAACTTCAGAACTCAGTCCTGTGGATAGAACATAAAAATAACCTTTAGTTCAACGGGCATACATTCAAGCAAACTGAAGAAATTCGGATTTAAAAATGCCTTAAGTTCATCTAAAGTCGGCCTTAAGCGATTTTTGCATCGAGATTCATTACGCAGAAATTTGAATTCCACTAAATGTTCTAAGATCATTTTCTTAACAACATTTCATTCACAGAATCTTAATGCTTTATTTAATTGAGAGTCAATCGACTCATCTTTCTGAGTGTTTGAGAACTGAGAAGTTTTAATTTTCTGTTGTATTGGCAGACAGATCGAATTCCTTCCTTTTCTGTTTTTAATAATTAAGTGTAAAACATTTAAGACTTTTATACATGAGTTTTGTAAAACAGTCTTTCTTCATTTATTCGACAGGTTAGGAATTAAAGCATTAGCGGAACATTGTATACTGCCAAAACCCAAACCCATTCTTTTTTATCATCTAAAAATATTTTGGTCAACACAAGAACATTCATAATAATAATACTTGAGAACACGGGCGAAAGTTAAACAATATAGTCACAAAAATACAATAAACTTTACAAAAAAATTTCTTAGAGTACGAGGAAATACTAATATAGATAATTACAGTTCGAAATGGATTTCTAGTTAAAAACTCAAAAATGTTTGAAAGAGAGGATAGCAGAATAATACAGGGCACAATTAAAACTGCTGAATTAAACAGGTCACATCTTCAGGATCACCATTTCATGTCTGATTTATAAGTTTTTGAGAAGAGTCGGAAGCTACGAAAATTTAGCAACACAATACGTATCTTTGAGCGGCCACTCCAGTTTCATTGTACTTGGAGACAATCTCTCTGCCTCAGAAACGATACAAAGAAGTAAAAGATGCAAATTATGCAATTAAAAGCGTAAACGTCTAAATATAATATCTCAAGATCAATGTCCACTTTTCGATTTAAGAAGTCCTTCGGAGACATATGTTTAGTGGCTTAAAATGTCATTTACTATTAAATGACTTCATTTTAATATATATGTAAGATCTTTTATTGACCATAGATCTTTAAAGTGCATAATTAAGAGTTCGCGAATTTTTAAAGACTTCCCATTCTTAATCATCGAGGCAAAAATTAGCGAGTAAAAGTCAAATTAAAAAATTCAGAGTATAATTAACAAGAAATTCATGAAAAATTTTGATGCTTTTTGCTTTTTAAATAAAAGAAAATCTGATGTGATCTCCTTGTACGGAATATTAAATTGTACTCATTATTTCCTGCATTTCATTTAAACTTATTGAATTGAATTAAATCTGCTTCGTCGATAACGCATACCTCACAATAGAATAAATGCTCTTTTTAAAATTTACTATATTTATTTATCATAACGACACTCTGGCGCTAGGTTCACTTAACAGCTTTACATTTCATTCATTTTATAACTCAGAATGCAAAAAAAATTATATCATCTGAAGAATTATCTAATCGTTGCCACATGCTCTATTCAAATACTATAATAAATCTAAAACGATGTATAAAAGAAATTAAACAAATAAAAAATAAACAGTTTTTCACAGACGATACAGCGCTGCTTACCTAATACGTATGCACTTCTCGTAAACATTCTCCTTTGTCCGAAATAGACTGGCGATAGTAATTTCTGCTAATATGAGACACTTATTTCCTCTAATTTCATTAGAAATGTATTTCTCATTCGATTAATTCAGTTCTCACTTCATTTAATTCATTAATTAATTCACTCTCATTCAATTAATTCAGTCGGCAAGGCAAAAATAATAAGAACACAAAATATCTTCATTAAAAATTTAAAGATATAGAAAAACATTAAACACCAAATACAGTTAAAATAATTAAAAAACCAATTTTTACAATTAAAATTATAGTGTCCACTCAAAAACAAGCAATACGGCCACCATGGAAGAAGATAGATTTTTTAGTGCATAAAAGTGAAAGTTTACTTTTGGTCTCACTCGGCAAAAAGACACTGAAGGCATAGAAACTGAATTTGATGGGGACGTTATTCCGAGTCAGTATGTGGAATAACTTAATGACTTAAATGATAATTCCAGGATGGATTAAACATAACTTAATTTGCAATAATAAAAGAATACGTTACTTTGTAGTTGCGAAGCTTAGTTTTTCTATATTTTCAACAAATTCACTATTCTGCTTTCAAATATAAACAAATATGGCTGCTATGGTAAAAATATGGTAAAAAATTTAAGCTTAGCCGCACTTAGACAATTTTTAGATTGCTGATAATTCTACAACTATAACATGCAGGTTAACTAAAGGTACAAAAACCTTAACCGGAAGATAAGGACAACATAATTCAATCATTTTTAAAGCAAAAAATGCACAATTTGCAAACATATAAGAATAAAGAAACTGAGTTCACTGAGCCGAGTAACAGAGTGGATATATATATTTATATACTTTTGGGGCGGTTGATTGTAACCAAAATAGGATGGGCGCATCTGCATGTTATAGCAGTCCTATATACAAAATTTTCAACTTTCTGAGGGTACTCGTTTTTGAGTTATGCGAGATACATACGTAGATAAGTACGTACAGACGCCACGAAATAATGTCTTCAGAATCCATTTGAAATCAGTTTTATAATTTTTGGGGGGAGAAAGAATCCTTTATTCTGTCCTTATAAGTACAAATGTCACGCAAAATCATCGTTAAATTTCATTCGATAGCGATCAAAGTGGATATTTTCGTTGAAATATGATACCCGAAATTTTTCGCGATTACAATACTTCCTTTTCACTTCGTACAAGGAAGTAAAAATCGAAAACTCATTAGCTATAAATTTTATCTCTTTATAAGTTAAAATTTTAAAAAATTAGAGGTGACTAATTTTCTCTCTTGTAGTAAAGCAATACGATTCGAACGTTTATTTATAAAGACTATTTTACATTTTATTTAAATTACTTCTTATGTTGAAAATTGCTTAATAAAATTCAAAGCTGCAAGTGTGCCACTTTTCCTTTGAATCGCTTAATTAATAGATTTTAGATTTTATATTGATTAATTTTTAAATTACTATTACTGTGAGGAACGGATTTCGATTGCAATGTAATAGTGGCATTTATTTTTCTTTTATTAATCATATTATAATAATGGGCTTTAATAACATAAATAGAATAATATCTTTTTCATTAATTGGCAAAGTGAATAAATAAATTATGAAGTTTTTCTTTAGCAGACAGAGAACGGTTACATGGTTAATCGAGTAACTGAAACAGAAATGCTTTTTTACAGTACAATTTTCTGTAATAAAACTGTCTAAAATGAAATATCGAAGCTAACCAATATCAAATACTTTTTGATCACAATAATTCTTAGCAGCCGTAATACTTTCAGAATCATACTCTTTGCCAGCAGTCTACAAAGCACATTTTTGGCACCACGTTTACACATTAACAAATGAATTAGCTGATTATAAAATTTTCATTTAAAAAGTACGTATTCCACTTCATCGTCTACTGATTAAAAATCGTGAATTATAAAACAGGTCGATTATTACTTGTAAGTGGGAAGCGCATTCATAAACGTTTCGAATTCATCCACATATTCTAGTTCAGCTTCTTTAGCGTTAAAACGTGGTGTTAAATATCGTCCACACACTGTCACTGCAGGAAATTCTAATTCCTTCAGAGAAGTTTTCTGTCAACAAAAACAAACATCATTTTTTAATCATTTTTTAGAATAAAAAATCAAAATACAGAAAATGCAAATAAGAATTTGATGGTAATGGGAATTATTCTGAGTTTACCCCTTAAAGGAAACTTCTAAATGCTGTTATGCTATAATTTGAATTGTTTTATTTTTAGTTGAAGAGGTAAATAATCTTAGTTTACCATTGTCAGAAAAATCTCTCTTGTTTGAGAGTTACATCTATAAACTAAAATTACAGTTTTTAAATTTTGCATTACTTGCTATCACAGCTGTTCTTCATCTGTAAAATTAATATCTAATCATGAATATTTCAGGCATATACTTTCGTTCCAACTTATTTTTGCCCTTTCGTTCATTTAGGTAAGGTATTTAGGTTCATTTATTTAAGGTAGTCATATAATTTTAAATGTTAATCTTAATTTCTTTAGATAAATGATTTTGAAAGTTATATCGCAAATATCTCACAAATCCGATTTTGTGGTAAAAACTATAAAGCTTATGTTAGCCTAGAAGACTGTTTGAAAAATTTCGCATTCTCCCATATTAGGTAGTTTCGATATTTTCTATATTAACTCAGTATTTATAAATTTGAAAAAAATTCTACGGGGTTTTTTATGAAAATTTTTACGATTTTTAATCTTGAAGATTCTGCTCTAAAATCGCATGTACAGAAGGATTATGTTGGTTAATAGAGTCTAAGCATTATTTGCAGCATATTTGACAAAAATTAGATTTTTCTTAACCTTTTGAAGACGGGATGGCCATTATAGTGGCCATAGAGTCCTCTCTTTGAAAAGACGGTGTTGTCCACTTTAGTGGCCATGTCTTTTTCTCCCGTTTTCCAGGCTGAAAAGTGGGGTGAAATGTCAAATTTGACGTCCCTACGGTTTAACCACTTATCTCTTTCAAAGGTCTTCCTTTTGCGACATAGATGCACTCCTCTGAGAATCCATTAAACTACACGCAAGAATCTTTGTTGCAAATAGGAGGTGATTTTCTAAAGGGGGGAAAGCATTCGGTCCAAGATTCCCCGTCCTTTGGTAGCTTTTACTGCTATCAAAGCCCCGGCCTCAAAAGGTTAATCTAACACTAAAGTATTATGTGTAATTTTGCTATGGATTTGGTAGAATATGAGTTTGATTATTCAACTGAGGCAAAGAACAAGATGGCTTCTTTTCTTAAGACGGATATCGTCTTGAAGAATGTTCCAAGTGAAACTGGCTCGTATCGACGTTTGACACGCGAAAAACTACAAACCACCGATGCAAGCTACCTTTTCAAAGGGAACCGAAACCAGAACAAACAATTCATTAACGATCTTGACCGCTTGGCCATTGGTAGTTATTTAGAATTGTGATAAAAACTGATATAATTATAAGAGCTTTTTAACATATTGTTGCGTTTATCTTTTCTGACACCAGTTGTTACGTTCGTTCACGTTCGTACGGGGTTCGTGAGGATTTGGAGTGAATAATGACAATACTACTTGACGAAGTATCGAAACACACTTTATTGGCCAGTATTGTCAGGACAGCTCCAAAATACGTTTTACAGTCGTCGATGAACTACTATAAACACGCTGGAACAATCAGCGACACAGCCTTCAGGTAATCAGGCTATAGCGGTGAAGAAAGCTTCACTGCAAAGCACCAGAGTACAGCTCCCGAATCTGCTCGGTCGTTCTCGGAACTCCACGTACTCTCGAGACTCTCCACGCTACAACTCGCGATGCACTCGACGACACACAGAGCACAGCTCCCGACTCTTCGATTCAGTCGTTCCCGGAGCTCAACACGCTCTCTCGACGATGACGATGCACTAACCGCGATACACTTCTTCGAAGCACTTGACGACCCATTCGGCACTCGCTGACCGGGTGTCAACTCGATCGTCTCCGAACGGACTAACTAGATGAGACACACTAACTCTCACTCTAGACGAGGCACCCCTCAATGACTGACTATCACCTCGCCAGACGAGGCGCACACACTGCGGACCAGCAGGGTTTATACACTGACTACCAATAAGTATTTGGACACCTATGCAAATGACGATACCTGCGGTCCTAAGGTACGTCACGGATTCCACCGGTATATATCGTGTAGGAAACAGCATCGGCTTTAGTCGCATGCAAGATACCTCGCAGTTCGGAGCTCTCTGATTTCGAGAAAGGTATAATTATCGGGTATCACAAATGTGGCCGATCCTTAAGGGACATATCTAGTGATCTGAAGTACCCAAAATCGATAGTGGCCTATGTGATTAAGAAGTGGAACGTGAGCGGTGATTGTCGGAATGTGCCCCGAGTCGGCAGACCAACGAAACTGGGAGATAAAGACCGACGAGTACTGTCCAGAGAAATTCGGAAGAACCGCACCCAACCGATGGCCCTCATCCGCGAGGAGTTTCAACAGGCATCCGGAAGTATTGTTTCAATGAATACCATCCGTAAGGAAGCACATCTGCTTGGTTTTCATGGTCGTGCTGGTGCCCACAAGCCTTTGATCACAAAGTCCAACAGCTCTGCTCGGTTAATGTGGTGCAAAGCACATCGAAATTGGACGGTAGATCAGTGGAAACGGGTTCTTTGGAGTGACGAATCAAAGTTCACCCTTTACCGTTCGGATGGCAGGGTCTGGGTCTGCCGTCTACCTGGAGAACGTTTCCTGCCAGAATGCATTGTGCCAACAGTCAAGTTCGGCGGAGGTGGAATTATGGTCTGAGGGTGTTTCTCCTGGTATGGGCTGGGACCCTTGGTCCCCATTCATAGTAAGCTCAACTCCGGGTACTTACTGCACTATTTTGGATGATAATGTGCTTCCTACGTTGTAACAGTTTTACGGGTTGGACCCCTGTTACTTTCAAGACGACAATGCCAGTTGTCATGTTTCGACGTTAACCAAGGCTTGGTATGGTGCCAGTGGAGTTCATTGAATGGACTGGCCTGCCCAGAGTCCAGACCTGAACCCTATCGAGAACCTCTGGGACGAGTTGCATCGCCGAATTCAGGGGTACACTACCCGTGCAAAATCGGTGAAGGAACTTCTATGTCTTCTCCAAGCCGAGTGGAAGAAAAGACCACTAGCTGTCATACAAAGACTTGTGGAAAGTATGCCCTGGAGGGTCCACGATGTAATTACCTCTCGTGGAGACTCTACCAACTATTGATTTTGAATAAAGTTAGTTTTTCTTTTCTATCACAGGTGTCCAAATACTTATTGGTAGTCAGTGTATATCGGCTTGTGTTAGAGAACATTCTGGACTAAACCGGTAAGAATTCGTTCCAGAAGGTTCTCCATCCGTCCATGGTATACCGCCAATTTTGTCGCCAAATGGGCGATTTCTCGCTAAATGTGGCAACCCTGCCGTCTCTTGCCATTTTATGACAACCCTAAAACTCGTTTGTGGGGAAGCTATCTTACCGCGCCTGTACATTTCGTAACAGTATGTTTCCTGGATTGATGGGACCTTTATGAAAAAGTGTGATAAAATATCGTAAAATTAGGTCCCCCTGTTGGCATCGTATTATTGTGTAATCGTAATTGTAATTGCAATATAAGAGTAATTCTAATGTATTCATAATTTAAGAGCATTGTAATGTATGTGTAATTGTAACCACGTATTATGTGATCGTAACATTAACCGTATTGTATAACAAACATGCCCTGATAAGGCACGTACCACTATGCATATATGTAAATATTTTCACTGATCGAATGCTCTGTGTGCCAATGCCACCTACACTGTATCCCACAATATACCAACTCAGTTGCCTGTAAAGCTGCTCTTTGTGAGTGTACTGTGCGGGCGCTATGCATAATAATGTCATTACGTAATTATGTCATCAGCATAAAAATAACCTTTGAATGTGTGCTGGGAATACACTGGTCACCTGTATAATCACTATGCATAAAAATGGCATTCGCTTACTGTATAGTGTATATTGTAAGGTATGTGTAATTCTAATGTATTTTTAATGTAAGAATATTGTAATGTAATATTGCAAAATAACTGTAACGTATATGTTGTAGGGTTTATATTTATTTTAACTAACATTTATTTTAAGTTTAAACTATCTTTCCTGTCAAGCCTTACTTTCCCCTGGAATTGCCAATGCCAGAGTATGTAAATTTTTAGTAGAATGCGCAAAGTATTCAGATTTTTAGCAGAAGTATTTTTAGTTAAATAGAAGGGAAACGAGTTCGTAAGGGTGCTTTCCTGCTTCACGAGCGTGAAGGTGGCTAGGTAGAAATTGAAGAACCGCACGTTTCGGCCTGTGTGCTTGCCTCGGCAGATAGTTGAATCTTTCAACTTAATATTCAGAAGTTTGCTGAAATAATTCAGCTGGTATCTTAGAACGCGGTTAGGTTAGTTACGTTTAGAGAGCCTCGTAGGTAGTAACTTGTTATTATTCATTTTTAGTTTCTTATTTTTATTTTACCACCGGTTCGGCGTAGTTTGTGAGCGTCAAGTGCACGCATCTGTAACTTCTAAAGTAGAATAAAAAGGGAGTTAAACCCTTCTTAAGAGTTTTGTGTACTTTCCAGTTCATAGCAGTCACTACTATTGTTGCGTGTAGGTTGGGGCCGCGCAACACCACAATGTAACGACAAAATAACTCTAATGTATGTTTTATAACCATCCTGCATACCCTGGTCACCTGCATAATCCTTACGCTTAAATATGGCATACGTTTATTGTATAGCGTATATCGTAATGTATGTGTAATTCTAATGTATTTATAATGTAAGAGTATTGTAATGCCTGCCTAATTACAAAGTAACTGTAATGTATGTGTAATTGTGTCCACGTAACATGTGATTATAACGTTACCTGTACTGTAAACCACCCTGCATACTCTGGTCATCAGCATAATCACTATGCTTAAATATGGCATAACTCTGTTATATAGCGTACATTGTAATGTATGTGTATTCCTAATGTATTTATAAGATAAGAGTTGAGTGTGTACTGTGCAAAATCATGCCATCAGCATAAGGCATAAATAAGCCATTTGCACATTGTAATGTGCATATATCTATCTGTGGACACCTGTGGCGCATTATGCACACAACAATGTCATCTGCACTGTAAACTAGAAACGTCTAAGTCCTTTGTAACGTTACTATATTCTACACTCCTTCCTCTGGGCCGCTCTAGATAATGGTGGTGCTGTACTGATTAACCACTATGCTAAAGGGACAGTGCCCACGTCCTCCGTCGCTTGTCGGCATGGTGGTAAAGGAGCTTGCTGACTGACACAGCCTTAGGTCCAGGTTCGAATCCCGGAGAAAACATGAATATTTGCAAGTGTATAATGTGTTTACGACATGGATGCACTTAAAATAGCGTCTAAATGAAAATTAAATGAATAAGCAGTTTTAAATGACTTTTATGCCAATACTTTCTTTTGTAAATTGAGCGACAAGAAGCATAAAGTTAACTTACCTCTGTAACAAGAGCTTTAGGATATTTTAGATATTCTTCGAGAACTCTATATGTCATCCAAATCATTCCGGCTGCTGTCAGAGAAAGAGCAGTTATCCAAACAACTCTCCGTCGGGTGGATTTAACAGTAACTAGATGGGATACTCCTGCTGCTGAAAGACCATTCGCCAAGAAATTTATTAAGGTCATCCGCTGATGAGAATTTAATTTCTTCTTTCTTCTGAGAATGAAAAATTTGCTTAAACCATATTCTAGCAATTTAAAAATATTTCATAGCTTTCAAAAAAGAGACATCAATAATATTACCAAACTGAGCTATCATGTAACGATTTTACGATTAGTTCTTTTTTACTGCCACTATTGAAAAACAAACATTTTGGGTTATTAACTTTTTATAATTATTTCTGTAAATCAGCACGCCTAAAACTACGAATATATTACATGAGCATGAAAAATTAATATGCTGGGTGATGTATATCCACAGGCACAAAGCACGGACGAATTATGTAGAAAAGAATGTTTACTAGTACTTTTAAGAAAATAACTTTATTTTGAAAACTTGATTCTAGTTTTCTAAGCTTTTATATTTGACACGGATAGTGCGACATAATATGAAAAACATGTGATTTTTTAAATAAAGTGTTTCAGTTAAAAGCATGTAGAGTTCTCCACTTTGTAAAGGCTAAGTTGCTGTTGAACGTGAAGAATCTGAACTGATAAGCGAATAATCGCTTGAGTTCGTGTGACAGGACCCAACAAGATGGAAGGGTAAATCACCCTTTATTATTCAAATAAGATTTAACAGAACTCCGTCTTGTTGTGTACAATAAAAGCCGACACTTGGGCTTGAACTTAAGAGGCTAAGAAGTAAACTAAAACTAATCTAAAGATTCTAACCGAGTTGGCCCCTTAACGCTAAATGACTGCGAATCTGTCAAGGGCCTGAGTACGGCCGAGCTTAATAACAGCTTTGAGAGAGAGTAGCCAAAAAGGGCGGACGCGTGCTAATCAGAAACTCTGATTCTCTCTTACCCAGCAAGTAGAACTACGCGGTTAAATACCGCTCTTCCTCATTATGTATTCAGACGTGATCCTAAAACTACGTTCTGGCCGGAAGTAGTAAGTTGAAGTTAAGAATCGACAGGAAAGGAACTTAAAATTTAACTGTTAATAAAATTAACATAATTCTTACAAGCATTAAAAATGTTAAAAAAATAATTGATTTAACTATCACAGCATTATTGATTACACGAATCTTAATATGTAACTTACATGTACTGCTATTTATTACTCTACTAAAATTCATGAAAATATGACATCGACATATTTATATACTCACGGTTGTAAAGCTTACAACATCAGGAAGAAATCACGTGAATAAAATGAAATTTACAGGAAATGGAAAGCTGATTATGATATGTAAATATTTAGAATTTCAGAATGTTCTCCGTGTACTGAGCAACTTTCCCTGAAATGTTGTATCAGTCGGATAAAAGAAGGCATAGCTAAATGTTAAAAACAGAATTTCGTTATCTGCAAGTGATAAATGTTTGATGAAAATTTACTCTGCTTCATTGGCGATTAAGACCCAGTGTAAGTAAGTTTCGCTATTTGAACAGGGGCGAATAATGTGCTTACGAGAAGAAAGATATTTTTATTACGAAATCGCAGCTCGTATGAAACATAATGCCTCATCAGAGTTGCGTGTGTGCAGACAGTACTAAATCAGTCGCAAATGGCAGTGGAGCATGAAATGCTACACCAGCAATGTATGAATGATACCTCATCTCCATGATAGTGATGAACAGTGCGGCTTCATCTCGACACTTAGAACAACTTGATTGATTACTGCTACAGTTATCCCTTGTGTACTTCCAAAGTTCGCCGTTGTCTGCTGTGTCATGTAATGCATAAAGGCATTTCTTTGCTCCGAATTCTCTTACCTCAAAATCATTGACGCTTGCGGCAACAATGGGCTCATCATCACAGCCATTCGCGTGCCTATAGGCAATTGCTCGTCTTTCCACACGAATTTTGCTTCAATGTGGAGTACGATAATGATCGAATATAGACGCTATGTGGGTAAACTCAGTTTTTCGGAGTGCATTATCCAGCTCATACTAGAAGCTCGTCAAACGTGATAGTCTAAAGCGCCCATAAATATGATAGGTGATCCAGTCTGCTAAGACATGAAGGTAGGTATCAATAACCACTGCACCAGGGAACTTGTGAAGAAGTCTTGCTCTTCATTCTTGAAGGTGTATTTCAACAGAATTCAATACAAGTCCACAAATTGCTAGAAATATTTGACTCCTCTACTTAACAGACACCATTTCTTCCTTGGCCTGCTCATTTAGCTGCTATGAAGCCTGTTGTATAGGATTTCGTGCACAGAAAACACGCTCGAAGCATTCGCTCCGAAGTCAACATGAATCAATTTTGGGCTCGGTCAGTTTTAGGCTGGATTGGCTTAAGAATTGGGTATGAACTTCATTTATAATAGTTTTCCTCATTTTCTGATGATACAAATAATGAAATTCCCAGATTTTTAGTTTCTTCATTAGAAAAGATCCGGGGATAGAAATGTGGAATGCTGCTAACTCAGATTTACATTCAAAACTGGTTTTATTCAATGTCATGACAACTCGAAGCTCTTAATGCAGCCCATGGGAGTTTCAGAAAATATTAATTTTGCGCATTTAATATTCTTGTATTAAATTTAATTTATTCTTGGCGTAACTACTTGTTATCTATTTAATAAACTTTATTAAATTCTGATGAATTTTCATGGGGCTGCAGTTTTCACTAACAGCAGTATATCTAATCAAAAGGAAGAGAAAGAAGCCAATGTAAAATTCAAAACTAAGCCAAAATGTTTTAGCGTAAATTTTGAATAAAGTTCTATCGATTTAGAAGGCGATCAGATAATAAAATCGTTGTAATCAAAACCTACTTCAAAATAAGTTGTATATCTATTGAAGAATCTGACTGACTTGTATCCAAATAATATGATCTCAAAATCCAAATAATAGGCCAATATTTAAGTACAAATGATAACATTAATTGTAACGAAAAAAAATTGGAATAAACACAATTAGATTAAACAAAATGAGTACTGAATGCTAATTGTAATTAAAAAAAAAGTGAAAGAAAGGAAAAGAAATAGCATTTATTAAACACAAAAAGACTTCTGCAGTAAGCTTAATTTCTTTGAAAATTATTCTTTCTTGCAAGGCAAGGGAAAAAGGCTAATTAATAAATAAATTAAATCAGTATTAGGGAAATTATATGAAAACACTGGCGTGACATATAATGACTCCATATCCTCGAAACCAATTTCCAGGGAAAATTATGTAATATCTAAGAATGGGATTATTTCCTTCTGCTTAAAGTTACATTGCAGCATACTTTAAAGAAATCTGGAAAACTACATAATTGATAAATATTTTTAAAAATTATTATAAAAAATGAAGGCGGAAAAATTGTTTACGAGTTTGTTGTAAGTAACGAAACATTTGAAATTTTACATCGTATATATTTGGAAATGTTAGAATTTTAAAATGATGGAGGTAAAATGGTCGGAAAAAAACGGAAATTTTCAAACATTTGCAAACACTCTCTGAACTGCTTTAAAAATTAGGTGTGAACTTCATGTAAAATACTTTTCTGATGGTACAAACAACGAAATTCCGAGATTTTTAGTTTCTTCGTTAAAAAAAGGTATGCGAAAAAAACTCCACAAAAGATTATTTCAATATTAATTTTAAAAAAGTCTAAACTAAATTTTAAAAAATCGATTCGAGGTGCACAAAACTCCACAAAAGATTATTTCAACATTAATTAAAAAACTTCTAAACTGAATTTTAAAAAATCGATTTGAATCGATTTCACATCTTCATCATCCGGATAACGTATATTCCAAATTACTTAGGTTTAGGCCTATCCGCCTGTATGCTAAACTACAAACTTACATATAAATTCCTCATTCTATAAAAATTAAGATGAATATAAAAGTACGGAGAGCTAAAATTTAGTGCTAAATATTAAGTAGATCATTTGTGAAAAAGTTGGTAAAAATGAACATACAGGAAATCACTATTTATAAAGAAGCTAAATAAAAGTTTTTCTTTAATTTTATATCCCTTAGTTTATTTTCATATGTTTTTAGTTATCAGAATCATAGAGGAAAATATGTTTGTTTGAAATTTTAAGTAATTTAATTTCAAAGCTAGTACTAAAACCTCGGTTAAACGAAATGTGTGACCATAATAGCGGTTACAACAAAGAAAGACTGAGTAAGAAATTTTTAATAATAGTTCGGTAATGGCAGAAACATTAGCTTTGCAAAGCTTTCTCATTAATTTATTCGCAATAAGCACGCACTATATGACTAAAAGAAAATTTCCCGTTAAAACATCAAACAGAATCATGTTTCTAATTTGTTTTCTCATTATGGATAATGTTTATTTATGAATTTTTTCCCTGTGCAATTGATCACAAAGATAGCACCTTATCGATTAAGCAGAGAATCATGCAGCTAAATTACTAGCTGTATATCAATCAGTATTGACACTGAAGATTTTCGGAAAATAAAACTCAGTTTGCTATGGAAATTACTATGGAAACCCTAGATACAGGTAAACTATACCATATTTAAACGTGGTAAAAGTAAAACTATTAATCAAAAGTATACCTTAGTCAGAAAGGAGTCGGAACGAAATCCAGTACTACGTAACGAATTTTGAATGAACCTTAGAAGTTCAATATCAAAAATCAGCGAAATTATGCTTCCATACGTAGTTTCGAATTTGTCAAAGACGATGCAAGAAGAACAAAGATGCAGTAACGGAAACATAACGTAAAATCAAACTCGTGATCACTTCACTAGAAATGCATTATCGAAGGTGTTTAAAGATATCAGTGTTCAGTGTAAAAGTAAACTTCACAAAACACTCAAGAATTAAAGTAATTACCTCTTTGAAGACTTTTGACCACAGTGTTTGAACATCGTCACATTATTGTATTTCCGATATAAATCTGTATACAAGCTCGACGTAGTTCTTTGCTTTTGCGCCAGTGGAATGCCAGTGGAATCACCTATTGATCGACAGTGTGATCTGCATGCGTGATATTTCCATGATCAACGCACGCAACAGTATCCGTGGTGATCAATTTTCGACGTCTTTCTGTGTTTGCGAAGTTCATTCATCATTTGGAAAT